TGAGACTTGCCCCAACGTTACAGAAGACTTCACATGAATACTTGAACTCTAATTCCACCATATAACTTTAGGCAGAAACAATTCTCATGATTAAAACTGCTGCTCCTGTCTCAGAGCCCAACCCAACACTCCTTCATGCACAAAGCAACCTATTTAGAACTTAATTCTACGCTGATGCCCAAAGAACAGGTCTGCTGTACATCGAGCAGGAGTGCCCTTCACCCCCAACAGCCATCAGACACAACTGTGTCCTTCTATCACTGCATTCTGGCAGTGAAATATCACCCCCAACCCCTCTTCCTGTCCCCAGCACTGGTGACTCATGCACCCTGCACTCACATGCAGGTAACAGGAGGAGAGGTTTGCCTCACTGCAGCCCTCCTGCCCGCGTTGCAGCATCACCTGCCTCCCTGCTCAGCAGTCCCCATCTGTCACCCAGCTCTGACTTTGTGCAGATTACTCGAGGATTTATTTATTTTCAAGCAGGATACATGGATGAAAACAGGCGCTACTTTGTCCTCCTGCTCCTTAGCTTCCACCCATTCGTCTCATTAACTTCTTTGGGGTTGTCATGATATTACACTGTAAGCTCTTTAGGGCCTCTGTAAGATAAATTCCCACCCCACTGCTCCAATCTCACTGGGTGAGGTGTGTGACCACCACAAGAAAAGTAATATTAAATATAAACATTGCAGTGTTGTGAGACACGTTCACAGAGCCAGGCCTTAAAACATCAAGCATCTCTCCCGTATTGTAAAGCAGGGACTGCCAGCTCACAGACCACATTTTCATCAGCTGCACCCTCGTCATTTCCTGATTTCGTTTTCATTAAAGTGTAGTCCAGGATTAAAACCAGTCAGCTGGATCTTCTATGTGATGCAGGCAATTTGCAATATTGCACCAGTGTTCAATCTTAATGACGCTGCACAAATACGCCCCTCTGTGTCATCCTTTACTACACTGCAAAAAAATAATAATCAGCCTAATCTATAAATGGAAAACAGTTTCCTGCTTCCTATATTGGAAGACAACATGTTTTTCTATAGGTTATTAAAAGTAATCACTTTAGGATAAATCCTTTAGTAAATACGACAACGTTTTTCCTCCATTTCATTTTCTGTGCATGCACCACTTTCAAAAGATCAGAAAGTTGGAATCTCCCAGAAAATCACACAGGAATGAAAGCAGTGGCAAAGCTGCCTCGACCGACAACCTCAACCTCAACATTTTCTGCTCTGTGTTATTTTCTAAGGCTTTTTATTGCACGATCGGGTGCAGTACCTAAAACCCTCACAAGACTATTTAACATTTACTGGTGAAAATGTAGCATTTCTGTGAAATTTGATATTTTCTTTCATCAAAGGCAGGGAGCCTCAACCCACATGTTAACAGTAATGTAACAAGCCTACTGCATGTGCTACAACTGAAGATCCTTTTCCAATTAGAATTCATTTACACTGGGGAGAGGAGAGGCAGGAACAAAGAGGTGGCTCTGGAATTTATTTAGAACTGGAATTGGACCATTCCAGCTCGGAGGATCAGCAGCTCAGCTGGGAACCTACACACTTGCTAGGACTCTGCAGAGAAACAGAAGTGAAAGAGCTTGTTAGCAGGGAGCACAGTTTGTCCTCAGAAATCCAAGGAAATGCACACGAGAACTTTATTTTTTTTCTACAGAGGGTAAAGAAAATCACGTCTGCTGTATTAGGGGAAGAACTACTTAATTTTTCTGAAACTTGAGCTTGAGTTTGCTTTTCAGTTCCAGCTCTGGTAGAATCTCCAGATCAAACTCATTAGTGTCTGTTAAAACCAGGTTTGCTGATAGAAATGTGTGGGACAGCAAACAAAATCAGTATCAGGCCTCGAGAGAGGATCTGCCTCTTTAATTGAAAAAGGCAGAGTAATCATTCATTTATTTAACCCAGAGATGATTATAATCTGAAAACCTTGAAATCCTCTTACACAACAACTGTTTTGGCAAGCCCCTCTGTGTTCCAACAAATATTAAACTGTGCTTGCCATTTGTCTAAGGAATCTTGTATTAATAAACATGAAGAAGAACACTTTTACCTCCCACACTCAATGACAGAAGAAAACAAAGACCAGCTGTATTCATCAATGGATCCTTGTTCTGCACATAAAGGCTAATTACATTTTACTTCAAGCCTACACATGGAAAACTTTTCTGCTGCCATCTTGTCAAATTCAGCGTCTGATGTTCCAGCTGACAGACTGCAATGACTGCACATAATAAACTTCTTTCTGCCATTAACACCTTCAGCACCCTGCACATGGGCTATCAGTGCAACGCACTGCCCGGCTTCTGCAGAAGGGAAGGCTGATTTCTGTCAATTCCAACGAAAGGAGCTGATTTCACTGAAGATTTTAAGTCCAGAATCCAATCTCAGTTGAAGATGCCCTGCCAGCACCGAGCTCAGTTACTCCATACCTCCCTCTGCACACAGCGCTTTGAACCGGGACATTCTGAAACCACCAGCAGAAGATAAACAAACAAGCTGACACAGTGACTTCCAACTTCAAGATCACAACCACCAGTCACTAGGATAAAATCCAGACTCCTTCATGCTGATACTGAAGACTTTTTTTCCCTGAAAGCTTTTCACAGTTACAAACAGTTAAAAGACAGATTTACTCCAAAACTGACAATCTTCAAAGTACTTTTAGCTTCAAAAAATTGACAATTATCTTTTTTTTCCTGAAGGCATTCCAATTCATCTGCATCAAATAAGTGTCTGTAAAACTAACAATTCTGGCCTAAGATAAAAATCACATGTTTTTAAAACACAAAATTAAAATTGGCAATACAAGTAGCTTTTCAGACTTAGATCAAAAGAGGGTTTCTTTTCAGAGAAGAATCAAACTGTCTTTCACCATTTTTATTGGTGTTTTTTCAACTTTTCTCCCAGCTTTTACAATTAAAATAGATGACTCAATCTCACTGTCTACATTCAGTTCCCCTTTCATGGCTTTCTAGATTTCCATACTGCAGAATTTGGGCTACGAACACCATGGATGACTGCTATTATGCAAGCATTATTTCTGCCATAAATATCCAAAACAATGATAAAATATTTCTGCTGTTATTACAGTCTACAAGTTTGTTATCACAGTGTATTAGTTTAGGAGATAAAGTACATGCCTAATGCCTGCTTCAGGATTCAGCTCTGTGATATCTACATTAGACCCAGTCTTCATCATCGTCCTGCTACAGATCACAATAAAACTTCTTGCAACTGCAGATCCTACTAATTTGATGTAAATCTCCATGTATTAGGTAAGAATTGTACTCAAGATCGTAAGAAAACATCTGTGTGAATCTTCCTGAGAAAATGAAACACATTAGAAGTGCAAGCAAACTGTTTAGAGTACATCTTTTGCAGAGTGTAAGATAAGTCATGCTACTCAGGGAAACAATATTAAAATCCAATGCAAACACTGCAAGTAAGAACACTGAAAAGAGTGAGGGGTTAAAAGGTTCAGAGCCTACACCACTGAGCCCTGATGCCTGTTCCTGCAGCAATGACTGCAAGGCAAAATCCCAGCAGCAGAGCTGTCAAGCATCAGTTATGAGCAGAAAGGGAAATAAAGGCAATTTGCAGTAATTTAAGGCTCCATCAGAAACATCATTAGTATGCATCTCTTAAAGAAGGATGAAATCAACGAGGGAAAAAAATGCATTCGATCACCTTATGCAGACCTCGAAGGAGACTGGAGTTACAGGGTACAACCAAAATTTACTTTGAAGATTGCTGTTAATGATGTAAAAGGTATTTCAACCTCAGACACTGATTCTTAACCACTATGGACAGAACTTTGTAAATTCCAAGCTCCCCATGTTCTTCAGAGGGGAACTGGATCCTCTGTGCTCACAGAGCCACATACTAAGAAATTAAAACTTCTTGTGAGTTTAAGTGGCCTTGAAAAACCTGATTCTGCCATGTGCCATACCAGAAAGCCACTTCCTTATAAGCCAAAACAAAGCCATGGCACTCTTCCCACCAAGCCTGAGCTGAAGTCTCTCTCCCCAAAGCGTGGAGACTGCCAACAGCCTTCTGCTTTCATTCTCTTCTGTACCACAACAGGTGGCATAGCTGGGAGGAAGGGTTTTCCTGTCTATTCACCCATCACCCTCCTACTTGGAAAAGAAGAAGGTAGTGATGCCCTGGGTGTGATACATGCAGCTGGCACAAGGATGTGACCTTATCTTCCACACCTTGCTCTTACAGAGGGCACCCCTTGCTTTCCCGTCTCAATTCCAGAAGAAGGAAGCACTGTTTAGGCTTAATTCTGGGATTGCTGCTGTTCATGAGATTTCCTTCTCATCACAACACTTCCGTAAATACAAAGAGTGAAAAAAAAAAAAAAAAAACAGCAGAAATCTGTTTTCTGTCTTTTGTTTCTTGGACCGAGTGTTAATAAAACCAAGGGATAATTGAGTACAATAGCCATTACAAAGACAAGGAGATATATATATTTGAGACTACCTCTGTGTTCTGCTTGAAAAAAGCAACAATTGGCCAAAAAATGTCATTCTGAACAGTTTGGGGTGGATTTGGGAGAAAGATGACTGTCACACCACAACCAGAAAGAATCAGGGTGCTTATCAATGCAGTGGATATCCAGTGGTAAACCCATTCTTAACAGCAAGACTGCAGAATCACAGAAAATATCTTAATTCTGAAAGTGGCCAATTTCTAAATAAAATATGAGACATGGAATAAAAGATGCATAGCAGATGCAGCACCTGAGAATTAAATCAGGAATGCAGCAGCATGTGGCCCAGGAAAAGTGTATCGTTGGGTAGAAAAAACATGAGCATTAATAAACTCTCTACAGGAGACCAAATTATGACAGCGTTTTCAAAAAAACGTGGACTCCTGAACCTCTCCCATCTTGTCCATTTCCAATAGGCAGATACAAAATAAAAAAAGCAACGATACCCTGAAGGAAGAAATAGGAGGAAAGCAGTGAATTCTTACTTTGCAGTAGTTTCTTCATCGTATTTTGTTTTCAGATCAAACAGTTCTGTTCTGGTTTTTTCCAAGGCTAAAAGGCAAAAACATGAAGCATTACACTGCTGTAGCAACAGCGAAAAGCAAGAAGACTACTCCATTCTTTTAATTCAGCCATAAATAAAGCTCTGTATCTCCTGATGAAAAATCCTTTGCTCTATCTTCTTACCTAGGCAAATCATTACGACTTAGCAGAAATTTATCTTTTCATTTTTCTCTGGTATTACTTCAATATTATAAAAATTTCCAGTTTCTATTCTGCTTAACAAAGCTAAACATTACTCATTTCTTATTTAGCCAGCTAAACTGCTTATTCACTTGAAATATTTACTGCAATAATTCAGGCAAGAAAATTTCTTGTGTTCTCGAAGGAAACAAAAACAAACGCATCCTGACCTGGAATATATAAGAGTGCAGAGATGGACAGAAATATTAAAGGCAAGCCACAGAACAAGCAAGACACACTAGGAGACACTGGGCTCATACTGAAGCCGGCCCACTATAAATACTTATCATAGATCAGAAATGTGTGAAACCAGACCAAAACACAACATAGATGAAAAGTTCCATGGCCTGTTTTCACTGCTGTGATGTTCTAAAGCTGCATGAGCTTTGTGCTTGGTAGTGCCCACTCTATCAATTGACTGGCTGCAACTCAAGTGTTCGTTTAAGGTGAAGCCCCAAAGAAGCTCTGATTCACAAAGCACACTCGAGCTCTGCTGGTTCACACACAGTCCTGACTCAGTGGAGGATCTCTGTCCTCTCACCTCCAGCCTGTGCATTGGTATAGGGCAGAATAGGGATGCCAAACCTGTTTGCAAAGCTTGAACTTTGTGTTCGGCTTCTTCCAGCTTTGAGGCTGTCGACATCTGTGTCTCCTGCAATTTTCTGTAAACGGAAAAGAAGAGGTGAGAACAGAGCACGCAATCATGTTAAACAACTTACTTGTATTTTGCAAATTTGGAAGATGAAGTGATTAACTGTCTCCACCGTAACCAGACAACTGACAACACCACACAGACTACAAGGTGCTTCAGTGGGACTCATAAATCATGTCACATTGCAATACTGTTCATACTTTGCAGTCCCACTTATTAAAATTTTAGCAGTGTAGCCACCTCATAACATAAGCTGTGAACATTATACAAGAGTTGACTGCTATACAAATGACAACTTCGGAGGAAGGTTTTCTTGAGCATAATTTGTTTTGGAAATGTCACACACATTAAGAAAATTGTCACCAAGCACCCTCTGTTGTACAAAGTTAGTACAAGGAGAATGATACATTTCCATTTTACTGTCATAATGAAGAAATTTCTTGCCATAAGTGATATACTGGATAGATGAGGCAGCTGTTTCATCACAGCTATAATAGTTGCCAATTTCAGTAATATTATTTAGCTACTTCAAAAAAAAACTCCACATATTTCAAAACAAATTTCACATTGATATTTTCTCTATAACATAATCAGACCTTTAATATGCTCACATTTCTTATGGCCACGGGCAATATTTTCTGGTGTGTGTCAGCAATACACATTAGCATCATCCTTCCACACTGCCACTACACCCTTTGCTAACGGCTAAATGAAAGGACTTATAAAACTCATCTTTAGAAGAGAGTCTGTCCAGCATCTCCCAGAAGACGTTATTTTTGTGACACTGCTTTTAAGATATTTGCAGATTTTGAAATTGTGAAATGCCTTATAAAAATACCAGCACCTGACTTGCACTCTGAAGGGTACAACCTTTATTCTCCAACACAACTGACCAGACTGGTAACTATTTGTAGTGAGAAACTCACAACAGCTCCCTTCACCCCAAATGACAGACACGGAGAACTCAGAATCTCCCCTATGCATTCTTTTTTTGTTTTTTGCATTCTCAGAGCTCTCATTTTGTTTTATATTTATGCACTTTTAAATTGTACTTGCTGAAGTCACTGCTTACATGTTAATTATCAGAGAGTAATCACAGTTAATGATGATCAGAAAATGCCTTGTGTTCACAGGCAGATCCTTCCTACTCAGCTCTGAACTTAAGCAATCCACTACCAACTAAAAAGCTCACATAAACTGACGGGCTTCTATGCTAAGCTGAACACGTTAGCCTCAATGTTATTGTTCCATGGGAGAAATAAACTCTTCAAGGTAGGGAACTCAGCTTGAAAGAACTCCCTTATGACCCCTGGTCTCACCCAGAGAGATCTGCCTGCCCACTGACCTCTAAGATTCAAACACTCCTTACTATTTGCAAAAGATCAGAAATGCATCCAAGATGTTTAAAATAAATTAAATAAAACCAACAATAACGTCAAAATAAAAGTAATGTAAAATAATCGTTAACTTTAACACCAGAATATGCAAGCTATTCCTATTTTGTAGTTCTAGTTCAGGAACACAGTCCCCTTCTCAGCCATGACCGTATGAGGAGGAGTGAACACCTCTTGGGCACAGTGCTCCATCTGAAACATCTCAGGGTTGTACCGATAGCACAACGATATTCTGACAAGTGGGCACAGCAGAGTGAATTACACTGCAAGCTAATGGAGAAAGATTAGTGTCACAGAGGACAAAGCAGCCAGTGAAGAATAAAAGCAGGTTTGCACTCTTCTGAACACGACACCCCTCCACACAACGCTACTGCCAAGCAACAATCTGTCCTTGTTTTACTCCTACACTTCCACAATTGTTTTTCTGTGCAAAGTTTAGTATCAAATGATTCTGTGTCAAACACATAAATCGCCAGAATCTCTCAATAAATGACCTGTCTCAGCACACCAAAGAAAGGATCCTGGATGGGAGAAGTAAACAGAATAACACATCTCTCTTTTTCTACAACACCTACAGAGGACACATGCACACTCACCTCTCCTTCTCCGCGAAATCATTTTGTAATTTTTGTTCTTTTTCCAGAGCTATGTTCTCTGCTTGGTTCTTCAGGGTCTGTTCATATTCTCGGATTTTCTCCTTAAGTGCTTTTATTGTAACCTCTACAGAAAAACAATAGGGAAAGAATGAGTTTACATGGCTCCACGTGGCTCCACAACACAAGGCTTTCTTTACCCTGTAGGCTCAGTGTGTTTTAAACTTTAGCTCTTCAACTCTGACACAAAATCAATGGATATGAGTCCCTTCAGAGACCTTTTACTCCCTAAATGTTAAATTGAACTTTAAGTGTTTATGTTGAGAAGGATCAATGGAGTTTGCTGGAAAGCAGAGAGGAGGTTTCTCTAACATGACTTAAAAAAAAAAATCAATTCTAAAATATAATATCACCTTATTGACTAGTCTCGAATTAGCTCGCTGCTGAGTACAGATTAATAAAGTCCCAGTGTGAGTTTAAGTATGCATTTATACATAGGACAGTTAATTCACCTCATGTGCTCATGTAAAAAGAGGCAGTTTTACTATGGTTCATGCACAGATGCAATCTAACACTAATTGAACACATATCTCGGGTACAGCTTTGTCCTGCTTCACAACTGATGACAAACACAGCAGTTAAGATTTAACTGCAGTACTAACAACAGATCAGATGCAACAGACACTCTGGAGCCCTTCATACTCCCGTTACTCAGACTGCTTGTCATCCTCACTGGGCTTCATGCACGAGCACCAACCATTACAGCTCTGAGTGCACTTGTAGTCTTTCGGGGAATCTGAATAAACCCTCCTCTCAGATGAAGGAGCTTCCTTGCATTTGCTGCGCCTGGTGATGGATGAGAGATGAGGCAGAAACCTGGAGAGTCACCGTGGAGCCACTGATGGACAGTGTCACGCGTGCTCTCATCCATTCCTATGTGAAAGCCCTCTGATCCCACCCACAGGAAAGGACCAAATCCTTATAGGGGCCATGAGAAGAAAAGCAGGACATTCACCAGAGTATGCTTTGTAACAATAATGGAATTTGGAAAAAGCATCAGAGTGCCAGAAGTCTTGCAGCTAGCAATACACTTCAGTGTACTTACAGAGAGATGTGGCGGGTTAAAGGCATCAGCTTATTAGCAGCTGCCATTAACGATGCTTTGGGAGAAATACCTTTGGATATAAAACATCTCTGGTTCTGCAGAAATATGGGAGAAAGACTAACTCTGCTATGAAAAGTAAAGCCTAAGTACTTGGGAAAAAATATCTCAATAATACCACCAAAACCAAGCATAATCCTTTAAAAGCCTGCACTTTCAGACTTGACTGGGGAACTGTCCCAGCAGACACAGATACCTGGTGATAAGGTCTGCAGGCTGGGAACTGCACTGAAGGCAGCCAGCCAGAGAGACCACGAGAGCAGGGGGAGAGTGGAGAAGTGACTGCCAGCACACCCACTACTTCTGAATGAAGGAGTGGGATTGTGCTTGCCATGCAAAAATCAGATGAGTCTCATTACTGATTAATAAGCCATGAAAGGAATGTGATGCTTTTTTTTTTTTTTTTTTAAAGGAGCAAAGAGAAATGCTTCTGAGATCTGAGAAATATGAATTCTGCTCTCCTAAATAAGCAAAGGGTGCTCCTCCACACACGCAAAAGGATGCTCATTCCTACATACAAAGGATGCACTATTTGTGCTGGAGATATCTTTGCTGCAAGTATTTTCACATCTAAACTTGCAAAAGTATTCAGGTATCTGAATAAGCACAGAATCAAATAAGCAGCTTCCATTTCAATAATCTCAAGGAAATTATTAGAGTTGCATCTTATCCATTCAGAATGCCGTATTTTAAAAGGAAATAGAGTACTAAAATTAATGCAAAAATGCACGAACGTGGGAAAAAAGTATTACTTTTGTGACAAAATCTGTTTTTACCTCTAGGCACAGACTAATCCTCTGCACTGTTCCAAAAACTAAGTGCCCCTTTTGCTGTTCAGGTTGGCTGAAGCTTGTTAGCCACTGCCATTTATACCAGTTTTGGAAGAAGTTCTTAAAGGCATTGTACGGCTTGTATACAGCCCTCCAAACAAAGAGATTAACTGATCAAAGCACCCTTGGCTAACAACAGGCTTTTCCCTGGATATCTTATTAATGCCTGTTTGAAATAGAGTGTGAAACTATTGCGCTGGCGTCAAACACAGCGCAAACACCGGAGTGGCAACACAGAAAGGAAGTCAGCACGCACAAGGGGAAACAAAAAGACCAGTCTGTGCACAGCTGCTGCAAACAACTGCGGAATCTGAGATCTATTCCACTTTCTGGGATGAACCCCCATGTCATGCCTGCATGTATGGGGTGCACAGCTTCATGAAAACTGCACAGTGAGTTACAACTATTGTACACTGCCAGTGCAAGACTGCCAGTGGGCAGCATTATGGTTCCCATGTAACACCTTCTGTAGTGCAGCCTGAATCTTTACAGGCTAGGACCTGTCCTCCCCAAGGGCCATCCCTTCCACGTTAATATCATGTAGGGGTATAGATGCTCCTTCTGCTGAAAATGAGAAGCAATAAATCCAACCTGGCTGCTAATGTTGCTTTCAAATGTTACCCATTTGGGTGCAATGACTCCATAGTCTAAGAAAGTTTCAATGTCTCCAAATGTGTAGAAGAAAACCCACATCTATGATCCAGAACATAGTACTGAATATGAAAATGACAAGCCCTACGTACAGGGAAGCAGGCATACAACCAAGCAAAATTTGTTTCCTGGTGCAGGAAACATGTTCTTCTAAGATACAAGAAAACTAGAACAGTCCTAAAGACAAAAGGCTTTAAATCTAATTGAGATTTTCATGTATGTCCATCTTCTCCAGTCTCATGAAAACTTAATTAAACATAATTAGCTTGTTTACATTGTTCCACACTGTTCTTTGCACAGTTCGTACAGTAAACGTAAAGTATGCATGCTGAATGTACTCCAGCAGCATAATGCAGATTCACATGAGGAAAAACAGAGTAAAATTTCCATTTGTACAAGTCTGTACCCATATATGAAATACTGGGTGTTTTTTTTTTTGTGCATGGCTATGTAAGACGTGTTCTGTGTGCACCCACGCGCCCATTCAGCTTGATGTCAGCAGCAGCACAGCCTACATGTAACTTCAGCTGGTGGAGTCACTTCCAGGCAGAGCTGGAGGAGGCTACAATGCAGTAACAGCCTCGTTCTCTGATGTGGTGCTACAGAAACTTTTCAAGAAATCCAAAGAGTGTAACCCAAAGCCACAAACGCACAAATGAAGAAGTGGCAACAATACACTTCTATACTTTCTTTACTGAACTTCAATGCTACTGTCAACTCTGCCTGTAAGAAATAAAACTGAATTTAATCTCAGTCTTCAAATGTCAGTATGCATTAAAAGCTGATAAATGAATTCATTTGCAACCTACCCTGATTTTTCACCTCGGCAAATTCTTTGTTGTATTCCTCTAGAGTTTCCCTAAGTTTCTGGTTCTCTGTTTCAATATCGTGCATACGTTGAACCTTCAGCTGAAGCTGCTGTCCTAAATCCAAAGCTGGAACTGGATCTGAAAAAGAAACAGTAGAGTAAAACATAAGGTAACAGTAACACTTCTGCAACTCCAGCAGCTCAGAGTACAAGCAGCCTTTTTTTTTTACTGATATCCAGTGACAAGTTTTAATTACTTTTCCTCCTCACTCCATATCCTACATAATTAAAAAAAATATGGATAGTTAACTTTATCTAGGCTACCCTTCAGATTGGGGCGTGCCTTCCTCACTGGGGCATTTACCCACAGGGCAGTCTGCCCTGGCTGCAGACAGTCACAATGCAATGGCACGTGACAGCCTAAAAAGTTATGTATTTTTCTTTTCAAAATGAGAAGTTGGAGGGAGAAAAGCAATCCAGACAATACCATCCGTGGACAGCTGGTGTCCCTTAAATACCTTCACTTTTGCAGGACTGAATTTCTGAGGAAAATTCTGCCCTCCTGCACAGCCGAGCACTAAAAGGTTATTTGATTAGAGAGATGTAAGCTGTATTTTCTCAGAGCGACAGATCAATAATCACTGTGAATTTAATACCATAAATCTTAGATTTTGTGACCCGTGTTCCCCATTTTTCTTATACTTCTAATTGAATAAACATTAGAAATTATTTTATACGTTCTTGTAATATTAATTCTCCAGTGCTGGTTCCCTTCCCAGGGACACACCTGACACGTACACGTGTCATTTATTCTGGGATTTCTTCCCCATCAGGATAGGAAAACGCTGGAGTCCAGTGGACTTATAAAAGATTATTGAATACATTTCTCTTATGGGCGCCAGCATCTCTTGTGGAATGGCTGCAAAGATTTAGTCTCCTGTCGAGGAATGCTAAACACCAAACTCAGCGGATCAACAACAGTATATGTTAGGGAGTTCACTTAATTTTCAACCACCACAGTCATTAATTTTTCAGACCACCCTCAGTCTCTGGAAACACATAATAAGTCTATTGTACCTCTGTTAACACATTAAGCATGAGCCTGTGTGTTTTTTCAATATGCCAGCATTGTTTCATAGTTTATAAAAGAATAGTACTGGGTTATGTTGAGCTCAGAGACATTGTAAGTAGCAGCAGTCTGCTGCATTTTGTTACTTCAGTTCTTCAACAGCTCATGGCATTACCCCGTTCATAAGACAAAATCTAGGTTGCTTGTCATCTGTTCTCTGTACATACATAGTTTATGACTACATCACTTTTTCATTTATGCTTTTTAGGCCAAATACTTTTCGTTATTATTATCTGCATTAAAATATTTATAATAAATCAAACTTAAAATGTTATTGCGGCAGAGACGGGGGGGAAACAGGTAAGGAATTACACACCAAGTTTAAGTCACAGCAGTAGCACGAGTTACAGTCCCTACAACGCTGCTGTGCGGCCCCATTAAGGCGCAGGCTGTCACAACATGCCCTTCTCCCACGGAGGTCTGCGACCCTTTGTGGGACCAAATGCTTGTCAGCACCGTGCTGCAGAGCCAGGCCTGGGCAGCAGGGATCTGAGCACTGCTCATGGAATTCCTGCAGAATAGCATTAGAGTGCTACAAGGAAAGAAAGTGAACTTTGCAAAACTGTGAGTGCGATTTTACCCCCACTATGAGAAGACCAGACACCACAGATGCATTCTGCTCCAAATGCACGTGGCTTTTTACTTTTAAATCAGACCAAAATAACACGGGCATTATGAAGTGAATAATGACAAACCTTTAGTCAAATCTGAGGTCCCTGAGCAGCTTTATGCACAAAATGAAAATGCTCACGATCTCATAATTATTCATCAGGACATGTATATTTAATTTAGCTCTATTAAAGGTTAATGTTCAAGTAGCAAAACAGTGGCAGAACAAACAAAATGTAAGAACAGTCTCTGTGCATTAAACTTCAAACTTTACCAGAGCCCATTTGAAGGACTGATGGCCTGCAGCCACTAAATAATGTGAAGGACACGGCATGAGCACCTCTTAGCCTTAATTTTTATCACTGCATGGCAATAAGATGACCAAGACACTGTGACCGGAGACACAAATAATTCGGTTCTCACGACAAGCCTTAACGTGCTCTTCCATTTAAAAAAAAACCAACACACCTAAAAGGCCATGATTTCTGAAGTATTTATGAACACCAATTAATACGAAACAAGCGTAAACCCTATCTGAGTGGAATGGATTTAAAAATAAATAAAAATACCCCGCTTTTCCCAATGCATGCATGAAGAAGCATACCTTTGTATATTAACCAGGCTTACAAAGTGTGTTTCATGTCATTTAACAGGAGGTCACTGAATTTTTAAACAAGCAATGGACCAAAACTTTCGATTCATTACACAAACAACAGGCACACATGTTTCAGACATCAAATGCCACTAGCTTATAGGCAGCAACAAAGACATGCCTTTTCTGTAACTGCTAGAAGAGAAAAATCATCTCAAGTAACACTTAAACGTAGAAAACTCATTGCAAATTATTCTCCTTGTTTGGCTCTTATCTGGCTTGCAGAAGTTCAGGATCTCTGCATGGCACGAGATAAATAAGAAATGAGAAAAAAGACAAGAGGAATCATCTCATCTACAACTTAAAGCCCACTGCGCGATTGTTACTGCCCAGCAGTAAATGGAGATGTCTGTTTTCATACTGAGTTTTGCACACATTTCTATCTTTTCCTGCCCTGTTCTGCTCTCCTAAGCCACTTGTTGCACCCTACCCCCACAGAGATGCCCCCTGCACCTTGTGTGCATACAGAGCCCCACACACCCAGCCCTGATCCCTGATGGGCCGTGGGTGTCCCTGCTCGCGACAGGACCTGATGGGCTTGAAGGGCCCCTTCCAACCGTAACGATTCTGTGACTCTATGAGGTTTCCCCACACTGCCACAGCAAGGCTGCTGCTTTCACTTCCCCAAAAATCTCGCTGAGCAGCCCAGAGGAGCTGAGTGGACGCGGCCCAGCTAATGAAAATGAAAGCAAACAAAAAGTGCAACGTTATATGGAAGTTAACATTGCCCATCAAACAAGCAGGGTACAAAGCAGCAGCACTTCCAGACCATTCACATGCCATGGACAATAAACCATTTCTGAGCAACAGTGCAAGAGAACAAATTATCAGCGCTGCTCTTCTGCACGTAAACAAAGCACCGTTTTCAAAGCAACCTAAAGGCAGGCCCTGATAAAACACTGCTTTACATCATGAGCGCGATGGAGGCAGCGCCTCACACCTGCAGCCTCAAAGCAGGAGGCAAGGTCTATCAGTGACCACCACCATTGCCAAGCAGAGTTTTGTTCACAAAACCCAAACCCGGCACAAAGGCAGCCCTCGGTGAGGGAGCAGCGCCTGCTGCCCTCCTGGGCACACAGGGCTGGACGCTGACATCACAGCGCTCGCATTGAGCAGGGGCACTCTGGGCTAATGTAATCATACGATTACATAATTAACCCAGCTGTCTCATTAAGAAAATCAACTGGAATTCAGGGCATAATTAGTCATACAGCAATTAGCATGCTGATGAGCAACTGATGAAAAGCTGTCTCGATATGGAGTATGTTGGGACCACCCTCGTTATTTAAGCAGAGGAGGGGAAAAGCTCCGGAACGTAACGCTGTGTTGAAGGTCTGCGTTCGGCGGTGTTTCGGAAGGTGGAAGCTCAAAAGTTGTCCGAACAGCCCGCGCTTCTCGGAGCTGTCAGCCCAGAGGGGAAGAAAAAAAACGCTGTCAGTGCTTAAATACAGGGAGAGAGAGAGAGGCGGGAGCGCGCGGTGCCCGCAGCCCGGCGGGACGCTGGGGCCGCCCTCGCTCAGCCCTTCCCGGCAGCCCCGGGCGGCGGGGGGCGCGCGGCAAGGCCCGGCATGGAGCCGCGGAGCGGGACGGGACGAGCCTGAGGCGGCGCTGAGGCGGGAACGGCCGCGCGCCCTGAGGCGCTGCGCGGAGACAGCGGCCGCGCGCAGCAAAAAGTCGCAATTCGCTGTTTTAAAAAAGCACCCGAACCCTTTTGTGGAAGTGCGGTGCCTGCGGGCCCGCTTTGTTTGTTTACAACGTGGGAAGAACCAAGCAGCGCTCTGTCGGTATCTTAAGATGGAGCTCCTTTCCAAAACAAAGGGCTCCGTGCTCCCTCCTCACCAAGAAATCAAGTTATGAAACAGTGCCAAACTTCGGGGGCAATTAATATTTCATTCCGCCGTAATGTGTTTCCGAAGGTTTGGGTCTAAAAATAATCCGTTTCACAAAGAGCGTGGTTTTGTTGCCCAAACCGTGGTGTGAGGAAGGCTTCCTCACAAACACCCGCGCAAAGCGATAACGGAGGGGAGAAAAACAACCACCCCTCCCCAGCACGGCGTTATTAACGCAATTTTAACTTTGTTTTTATTGATTATTTTTAAAGCATTGCCACAGTGCTGGAGTTTTTGGGTTTCCTGAAGGCGCCGCTCCAGGTCCCGCACTTCCTCGGGAGATTGAATCTGAAAATAACCCGAGAGCCTGCTTTGGAAAAAAATAATAATTACACTGTAGCTTTTGAATATTCAAACACCTCACAGCATACTTAATTAATTCATTAATTATTCCCCAGAAATTTCTGGGGTAAATTGATATAGCCTAGAGAGACTGAGACAAAGATTTCGCGGAATAAATGATAACTTTGCTCCCGTTCCCCCCTGACTGTGGCAGCCCAGGGACAGAGGAGCTACAGCCATGATTTCGTTTGGAACAAAGCTCATCATCTCTCCAGCTCCTCACTTCATAAAGAACATGAAAAGGTTCTTCCTTCTATCAAGAATGAAACGCGTTTTCTTACTCCCCCACCCCACACCAGGATCTATCTATTCCTCTTATTTTTCCCATTTTGCATGGCATTCTCCTCACCCTGCTGCCCTCGGAGCATTCCATAAGGGCTCCATCAGCAATTCCCAGTACCCATTTCCCTCACCAGTGAGAAAGCAGGCACCAAATTGTGCCAAACCCCCAAAACAGCAAGGCAAAATTTTTCCAGTTCTGATGCAGCCCCTTTGAATAGGGATGACAAAGTCACAGC